TATTTGTGCAGCTTATGAGTCGTTTCTCTTATGATTTTGTGATGTTGTTTTTTTTTTTTTTTAATTTTTGTAAATTAACCTCATAAAGCTCTCACGCATTTACACTCCTGTCTGTCTTGCAGGTACTATGCTATCGTACGACCACTAGAATATCCGCTTTACATGACCGAGCGTACGGTGCGCTTTATGTTGGCCAATGTTTGGATACTACCAGCGCTCATATCATTTACGCCCATTTTCCTTGGCTGGTACACAACAGCCGAACATCAGCGTGAAACCTTATTGCATCCGGATCAGTGTTCATTTGTGGTCAACAAAGCGTATGCGCTCATATCGAGTTCGGTCAGCTTTTGGATACCGGGTATTGTGATGCTCTGCATGTATTGGCGCATCTACAAGTAAGTTGGTCTGTAATGCTAAGCAACCACTGGCAAATAATTATGCATACTTGGCATTGCATGCGAGTTATCACATAAGGAATTTGTTAAACGAACTTTGCGTGTAAGCAGTACATATGTAGAAAGAAGTCGGTTGAAGTCTGTTGTTGTTGCAGTGCAAAATATGCATAACTTTGCCTTAAGCGCTATGAATTTGCTCATTTACTCACATGCAATATTTATTTGTTTGTGTATTTGCAGGGAAGCGGTGCGCCAACGAAAGGCATTGAGTCGTACTAGCTCAAATATTCTGTTGAATAGTGTACATATGGGCCATACGCAACATTCGACGAATCTCAGCTATTTGCATCCAAGCGATTGTGAATTAAACGCAACGATGGCACGTGAGGAGACACATAGCGCAATAAGCAATTTAGAGGTAGGCATTAAAATTTGAATAATCAAAGCGACTTTGTGAATGACTAGCAAATATCCGGCGTGCCTCACTGCACCTTAAAAGTATGTTTGTGTTGTTTGGTACCCGTATTGTAATATTTCATTTATTTTATCAATTTTATGAAATATGGCTGGCAGAAAACTTTCCTAACCCTCTTCACTTATGTATACAGTGAAAGCTCCCATAAGCGGGACCCGTGGGCAGCTACTTTTTGTTCGCCTATGGGGGATGTTCCTTTGGGAATTTTATAAAAAATAACATTAAAATTCTTTTTTTTTATTCTAGTTGCGGGTTTCAAATTAAAATAATATTTTTTCTTTCCTACGGACAAATCTCATTGCGGAAGAGTCAACATCTGACCGAAAAAAAAACACAAAATTGAGCTTTGCGTCCACTTATCGGATATTTTGTTTCATAACTGGAATTTTTTGAGTACCGAGTCCGTTTATCGGAAAGTCCGCGTATGGGAGAGCATTTCATATGGAAAAGAGAACCAAAACTTATTCGTTCCCAAGAATTTGTCCGCTTATAGGAGATGTCCGTTTATTAGAGCGTCCGTCTATGAGAGCTTTCACTGTATACCCATATTGCAATATTCAATTTTCCTAGCAATTAAATTAAATTAAAATTTTCAAACAGGTGGAAACTTTCAACGAAAATATTTGTGGCTGTTAAACTTTTTAAACCTTTTTCTTTTGACATCTATATTGTAATATTTGCTTTATTTTGTCACTTTACTTAAACTGCATATTTCAAACAGGTGGGAACTCTCCAAAATTGTTTTTTTGCCTACCATGTTTTAAACTAGACCTGTAGTAATANACCCTATATTAGAGATTGATAGAGGGATATTGATAGGGGTATAGATTGATAGGGGGTATAGATTTATTAAACAATAAGTTCGCAGAACATTTTTTGCAGATAATACACCCCACCCTATCCTTCGTGAACGATATGTGGGCGGTGAATGATGCACTCGGACCCAACGAGCAGGAATTCCGAGATTGCCATAGTTGAAAGTGAAGTCCAAGCTACTTTGCTTAGCTGCGGTGTGGAACAACAGCTTTGTCTGCTATATACAGAGGCACGATATGTACCACTACTTTAGGTACGAGATTAGGGCTAGTCGGAAGTGTGCCCCTGATTTCAATCAAGGCAGATTTTGCATACTTTATAGCTGCTTAAAGATTGCGGCCTTGTCCAAAGCACTTTACCACG